GGGGTGGTGGGGCATGTTTGGGTCAAAATCTGTTCTCAGGACTGCGTACAAGAGAGTAAGTAATTCACTTCAGCATTCAGTCCCTCAGTTTTACCCCTCTTCAAATGAGGAGCACTTTGCTCACAGGCAAAATCTGAAGTTGAATTAGCCTCTCTAAAGGGCTTTAGGGCTCTCACACTTGAGATGCTGTAGAGAGGCACTTCCTTTATCACACAGACAGGAGCTAAGGCTGGAGTTTAGCTCAGAAAATATGCAAAGAGAATGATACAGCCTCTAATGGCAGGCCGCTAGCAACGGCCCTTCCCCTCCAATCTGACAGATGACCATAGCAGAAAACTTGCCCTGTGGGTAACACACACTGTAAACAGGCCCAGCAGGGGCACAGATTTCAGCTTGTTCACTGCACACGGAACAAATATGAACACTGAGCAGCTGAACAAGTTTTTCAAGCCTTCCCCCTCCTCCCTGCAGCCTGGAGACATTTCTTCCATTCGACTGACACACAGCACATTGCATTTCTAACACCAACCTGGTCATTTCATTAAATGCAAAATAAAGACTATTAAGAGCATTTTTATCCAGGCTAATAAGAGAATTTGGAGGTGTCCCAAGTGTCACTGAGTATGAACTGATGAAGCATGCTGGCAGCAGTGCAAACAGCCTTTCCACAGTGCAAGGCAAGCTCGTCAGCGCAGAAACCACAGTCTTCTCTGGTTGTGGCTGGTCTGAGTCCCAAAAGGGCCTTACCCAAGACCCAAGGGCCAGCACACACCTTCCCAATTCTTTCTCCTAACACAAGGCACAGCTCTTGACTTCTCCAGCATAAGTATAGAGCTTTGTTTAAGACAATCTGGGTTCCCTACCAGACAAGACACACTTCTCCCTTGGTGACAGAATAATCAACATAAGACACATTACTCACGCTGTTAATATATTGCTGGATGGTGTGCAGATACCATGACAAGGAGCATGGAATGAGATCATGTGCAGGGTGGAATGAGTGTGGCCAGCTTGGCTTAACTAAAACCAGATACATGTGCTCAAGGCCAAACATGCTCATTGTGTGCACAGAGCTCCCACCAAGAGCTAGCTTTCAAACCATGATTTTAAAACATTAAATAATTCTAAATAAATCAATTTAAAGAATGATTTAGAAACATTCTTCCTCTCTGTAAAGCCCACGAATAAATGGTCTCTGCTGCTAACTTGTCTCATGCTTAATCTCAAACACACTGGAATCACCTTTAAATGGATTTTGAATCAATTCCATTTGCTGTTTTATCTTTGCAAAGTCCAATTATTAGCAAAATGCAATGCAGATTGACGCTTTCCCTGTACTTCTGTCATCACTCTGGGAGAGGTGCAAATAAACAAACCTGTATGTTCACCCACAAAAGGAAAGAGAGTATTATACTTTCAGTAGAAAAGAGTATTATCATGGAATGTACAGACAACATCATGCCAGGAAGGGCTGCTAGTACGCTAAAGGTTTGAATTACAAATTCAAAATGGTCTTGCCAAACTGGAAATAGGATCAGAAATAAATGGGATGGTATTCAATACAATCAAATGCAAAATGCAGCACTTAAGCAGAGATAATCAGCTACCCAAATACAGGACAGGGAATTAGTCCATTCAATTACAAATACAGCTGTCCTACAGAAAAAGGCCTGGGGATTGCTGGAGGTCACCAGATGATCATAAATCAACAATGCTGTCCTGTTATGAAAAGGTTGCGCCAATCCAGGGTCATATGAGGCTGGTTAAGGACCAGAGCAGGAGCCTGGAGGCACTGTGGT